ATTCTCCCCTGAAGCTTTCACGGACAGGTTTCTTCAGTTGAACCTCACATTAGACATCAGTAGAGGTATCGATGCAGACTACGAGCACATTATTTATACTACCAAAACGACCATTCCCTTATCCAATGAGGGAGCAGTGATATCCAGCATCATCTAGTCTGATCTGAAAAGGAACGCTTTGATAGATGATCGAAAATGTGGGTTGCTTATCAAAATCTAGATAAGGTAATTATAAAGACCTTAAAGGAACCCTTTTTTCTGCTTTATCATGCGCAGGTGCTCATTTTTTATTTCGGATTTCTTCCAGCCCATTGATGCCTGACAATAGGTAACTGTGGTGCATTACCTATTAACCCATAAAGAACCGTAAAATTCTGCTCAGAAGATTTACTGGAAGCTCAGTGGTTGAGAATGGAAATGCGGCATTTCATGCACAAGCCTATATTATCACTTTTCAGAAGCGTCTTGGCCTGACGCCTTGACTTTAAAGCCCGCAGTACTACTCAAAAGAGCAGTAAGGAAATGTTTATTGAATACAAGCGATGATTAATTTTGTGTCATATTTATTTATGAAAACAACATAGTCAGTGTACAATTAGGCCTTCATGTAACAAACACTAGAAGAATAAAGTATTTTCCTGATAACTTATAGTGCATTTGCATAATTAATGCATTTAATGATTACGTACCGGCCGTCCTTTAGCAACGAAACTTTTATAATGAATAACCACGTTATAATTCAGCGTCAATATCTTTGTTGACGACAAAAGACAACGACCAAAGGAAGTGATTCAATGGTAAGGCGAAGAATGGTGGGACGTATTTTAATGAGCCGTTAGGGCAGTTGTAAAGACCTGTCATGAACCGTCAAACGAACAGTTAGCTAGGTACTGGCATCAGCAGCTGACGAAGCTCATCATGCCGTTTACAAAGCAGTTTTGCGCAAAAGGGCATCCCTGTTACAAATCCGGAAGGAAGGAGGATTCGGCGCCACCATTGATATTTCAAAGAAAAACCTTATCTACAAATTATGCCATCTACCCGTGAAAAGAGAATGCCTGCACAGGGCAAGAACAACGAGGGTTCAACTGATGAATGAGGACAACAAGTGGTACGAATGCAGCATCTTCTGCCCTGCTTCGTTGGTCATAACCTGGAAAATCGGGCAGCATATTAAAACATCGTGCAATGCTTTACATTACTTTGCTGATTTGTCTGAACTGAGAATCGCTTGTTATACGGACAGATTCATATTCAGTGAGTTCCTGCTTTTCAATAGACTTCGAATTCGTTATGTATGAGTTCCTTACTGTAACAGCGTTTCAATGACTAATCGGACAAGATGAAGAACGAGGAGTTTGGACCGCCGCACCGGCTTGTGGTTCTTATGGCGCCGCTGGGACTGGACCGGCCCTACTCACCTTACAGAACTCGACGTCGGTCTGCATCACCGAATGCACGCCCTGTACGTAGTTGTAGACCAGTGGCAGGCCGATGACGCAGGAGATGACGGCGACGGTGCTGAAGCAGACCGCACAGAAGGCGACGAGCTTCAGCGACTTCTTCGATGATTTCTCGCTTTCCATCGGTGCCCTGTTCGAGTCCCCTGACCGGCGGTGGCTGCGGAGAGCTAGAAACGAGCAACGGATGGATTGGGCTGTAGTGCTGCTGCTGCGTTCAACCGAAAACGCACGCACACAGGCACCGACGTTGACAACTACGACAACCCGAAAACGGGTGCGTTTATTATGCCGTTGTTGCGGCCCTCTGACCCGCCGCAGTTTGACCCACATGAAACATGGTACCGGATAGCCCTCGAAGGCTGACGTGACCGCGCGTGGCCCCCAATCGCTCGCGACCAGGAATTCTGAAGATGATCACGTGGCGAAGACGTCATAAATTGCATGTGTTGCCCTCATCGATGCTCGACTGTGGCTGTCGCACAGCTCGTTGACCTGCAGCGACGACGTCTTCCGCCAACAATCGCGTGCTCCCCTTTCGTAGACACCGACAAAGTCCATTAAAACCTAGCAGCACAGACAAACCGACATGAACAGTTGAAAGTTGCATATTTAGCATACGTCATCGCGAGTCAATTGTTTAAACAGAACTGGGACAAATTCAGTTTGCAGAAATGGAACGAAGGACAAAAACGATAAATGGAAAAGTGCAATACAGTAAAAAGTGTTTCATGGTTCAACAACATCCGGTAGACAAACAACCGAAAGCACAGCACAACATCATGGCAAACCAGCAAAATATTGCACTTTAAACACAGCGAGTACTTCTGTCCTGCTTTAACTTGTGTTTCTGACGTGGACATTTAACGTCAGCAACAGGATCATAGATCTGCTGTCGTCGAGTGGTGTTCGTACATAATCGGTAATATGCGGTGACCTAGTATTATAAATGCTCGAACACATGTCACTGCTTTCATGTCTTTCAGTCATCAACAGGTCTCGCTCAACAACGCTTTGACACCGTATTTTAGTACATTGCATTTTTTATTTACGGTATTGAGATTGTCACGATCCATCTTGTTTGAGATCCAAAACGATCCGGTACATCAACCAGTCGGTGGAGCTAGGCACTATGGCATAACTGCAGTACGTCACGCGGAATTGTATGCGCCTTCCAAAAACTCATCTTTTATTTGTGACAACGTTCAAAGTAGAAAAATGCCTGAAGGGTAAAGTACACTATGGTTGATATTTTCTGGTTGTTACTGCAACTTTCAGACGTGACAAAAATATTGATGTTGTTATCAACCAAGCAAAGTTTGCTCATGCAAAAAATATCACAGTGTGTGAAATTTAGAGTGGCTCCTCAACGACAAAATTTCAGGACGCATTGTGCCGTCTCCTTACTCATAACTGCCTAGGGAACCATTTAAACAAGCCACGGCTCCATGTTATTTGAGCATGCAGTGCACCCTTATGAACGCAATGTGACTATAAAGGGCAATATGATGCGAAACGTATGCAACATTGCAGATGCTCAAGTACGATAAAAAGGTGACCTATTAAATGGTGGCGCCCTAGGTAACTACGAACAAGGGGGCGATCTGATTTTGGAGAAGTTCTCCGTTAATTCGTTTACGCGACGCTAATTTCTTTCAGCTCGTAGACAATTCGCTGTTGAATTGGAAATGCTCGAAAACTTATTTACGGTTCACCTTTCCAGACATACAGCGTATCAGGATAAACGATTATCTAATCTTTGCCATAGGTTTCTGGAAGAGATCTTTCTTTGACTTTCTGGCCATCGCCAGACTCCTGTCATTGTCGCCAATGAGAACAAAAATTTACAAGAAAATTGACATTACTGCTGATGGTTAGAATGCTGTGATATTCAGGATACCTCACAGAAAGTAATTATCATGATCACAACCTCCATTTCGAGCTGCGAATTTGCGTTGTACGTTTGTCGATAGTTTTACAGCTCTAAATCCAATGGATTGCAGTTCATATGTTCAGCCCCTTAAGCAATTTGCATTACACATTCGGTTTATGATGTCCGCTTACTTCTAAATTTCTCAACGCATTTGACAAACACAGTAGGTAACGACATATCAGCCTTTATTTTTTCGTTCACGTCCTATGCCTGCCTACTGGATAGAAGAATTGTGCTCAGCCAAATTTTTACACACACAGAGATGACCTCTTTTGCCGAATCTTTATTTCGGCTGGGAATATTTATGCTCGACATGGAATACTCATTTTTTACCTAGTCCGCCAGCAAACCCACATCTGCATCGACGTCAGTTGTACGCTGTTCAACCATTAGCTTGGTCTTTGTTTTATGCCAGAACCACTATTTCCCTGGATGCAGTCAAATCTGACCTAATAGATGTAAAGAATATACCTTTCTCTACCCAAACATTGACTAGATTATCAAAAGAAGTGAAAGCAAGGCGAGGCTCGCACTTAATCTCAGCTAACTGCTATCATCGCTGGAGTTAATGTAATCATGATACTTCGCCAGGTCGTTCTTTCTCCCATCGCGTTTGCTAATCTGTTGTGCTGAAACTGAGATTCAGCCAGGGTCTGCAGATTAATTCTTTAAAGAAATTGATTGCCAGAATAAAAATAAAAAATAATAACGATAAAATTCATTGCATTGTCATTTTACCGGTGACTTCAAGTACAACGGCGCCAGTGGTGTTGTTTGATATCTGACGTGGGTAGAGGTTCCAGAAGAACTCAGTTAGCAGTTTACCTTCTGAGTTTTACCCTCTGAGCAGGATGTTCGCACTATGACTGTAGCGTACCTTCATAGCACTGCTACAATTTCATATTTCACGCAGATACATAATCTGATTCTGCACTCGTAGCGGAATGAAAGACAAACAAAGTCTTTATCGAACACAACTTTGAAGTATCGACTAATCATTGGTCATCATTAAGGCATGTTTCCTAAAGCTGATAGGTTAGATCTGTGTCAAGGGTATATTTCTTGCTGCTAATCACAGAATCAAAAAATAAATCCGCTTCCGGCCATCCGCAGGACGTTGCTTGTATGAGTTTAGGAAGTTACTTATTAAACGTTATCGCGTATACTTCGCCAAGAAAGACAACCGAAGCACAGGAATAAGGCAGAAAAGAATTGGCTGTCTAAAAGTTTTCTTATATTGGTTTTTTCAACGACTTTCTAAAATGAACAAACACTCAAAACGAGGACGAATTTTTGAAATGTGGCCAGCAACTGCTGCATATGAATTATCTGAGGTTCAATAGCGTTCGATTAGCTTAAATGGTCAGCATTCATAGTTGTGAGAAATTCGATCTCCTAATGGGCAGAAAGGGCAAAATTTGATGCACTAATAAAATGCATGAATGCAACAGCAAATGTTATGAAACCGGTTATGACGCGATGTTGATATTGACACTTTGAGAGCAGCTGTTCTCTATACCTTCATACATTTTCTATAAGGGAAGTAGTTACGCGGAGGGGAACGATGAGGTACTGGCAATCTACTCTCTAAGATAAAATGGCAAATTGATGGCTATTCTATTCTACCTGTGTAATATCATTACGCATTATCAGTGATGTTGGGAAGCCTATAAATGTATACAGATATCAGTTTAATGAAAACTGACACTAAAGAATATATTTTTGTTAAATAATGAAAGATATTCAAGAATATACAATAATGAAAGTTAGCGTTTTCGGTTCATACCGATGTCGTGTTATGGACGAGTCGAAGGGAACACTCTTTTTATTTCATCATTAGCATCGCGAAAGACAGAGAAAAACCTTTTATTTAGTGGATTATCGACGATTTGACAGGGAATCTTGAAGGTCATATGGGTTCTTGACCCATCTATCGAGGTGGCAAAGTTCGAAAACAGAGTCGTGGCAAACGATGTAACAAAACAAAATGGTTGTTAAAGAGCGCTCGAGTTGATGCTCAAAAAGTGATCGGCTCTCTGCACGTAAAAGTCAAAATAATGAGCAACAAGATGATAATAAGGAAAGTAAAAAATATGAACAGAAAAAAAGTCATGGACGAAGAGGTGGACCATGAAGGAGAAAAAGTAAAAGAAACAGGAAAAGGTGATGAAGAAGCAGTGAGCAACGGTAAGAGTAAGAAAACCTAGAAGATGATCAAGAGCTTGATATGATGAAGAAGACCACGAATTTTAAAGAAGAATATGATGATGAAGAATATAATGAACAAATAGAAAATGAATGAGGTTGATGAAAAGCAGTAAACCGTTATGGTGAAGAAAAATTAGGGAAGTAAAAGAAAAAGGAAAAACTGATTTGTTCACGGAAAGAAATGATAAGAAGTAACTGAGGAAGAATGAAGTGAAGAATGTGACATTGAAAGATATAAAAGGAAAAAATTAAAAACAGCAGATCAAAAATAGATAAATCATATTTATTGCCTGTAACGGCCTATAAATAAATAAATAAATAAATAAATAAATAGATAAATAAATAAGTAAGTAAATAAATAAATAAAAAGTAATAAACAATAAATAAATAAATGAATAAATAAATAAACAATATTTAAATAAATATTTTATATATGGGCTAGCTTGTAACATGATGCAGCTCAGACAGTCCGATGTTAAAGATTGATCGAGTGTTGGTGGATACCATAACCATCAGTCGAACTTAATCTAGTTGCAGGTGTTTCCTAGTCATTCACCACTTT